AAGTTCTTATGCAGCTAAAAAAACGCTCAATATAACCAATAAGTGATAAGAAGTACTACTTCAGTTGACATATTTTCCGACAGATATGCTTACTGACAAACTTAAAATGACCCATGAATAAAGTTCCCTACGACTTGGATAACACGAGGACTATCTTCAAAATCTGGATTGGGTTTTAAGATAGGATCTTCATCGCCCGTAGAATGCGTAAACTGTCAGACATATACGAATTAAAATATATAGTATGTAAGCAGAGGAGAGTCATATATTATAAAAATATTTTTAAAAATTTGTTAAATACTGTAATTTTTGTTAAACAAATTTTATTAAAAATTTCGTAATAATTATTTCTAAATAATATATGATATTCTTACTGAATCTTATATCGATTACTTCATGTAGTATTTAGATATAACGGACGTTCTGATGGATAAATAAATGGTTTGAATGGTTTGAAGTTTTTGTGTGCATTTTATTATATTATTATGTTTGTATACATTTATCTGTTATATTAAAACGTAATAATGTGACAATCTTGTACTTATTCTGTGGTTATATTTTGATGTATTAAATAAATATTTTTTTATGGGGAAATTATTTTACACTATATATGGCTTCCACGAAATATATGATGAAATAAGAATTATTTAATACTAATACACATTACTTTGTTTTTTTTATTTGTTTTTTTTTAGTTGATTATATTCTTATATTTTTTCAATAATTTTGAATACTTGATACTTTGATAACTGATCTGTTTTTAATCTATTCCTGCGCTTAAATTTCGCTGTCGCTGCATTTCAATTAAATTATTTGTAAAAAATGAAAATTAATTTGAGTATAAATATAGGCCTTAGTTAATAATTTTAATATTATTAAACTCATCTTCACAAAATGAAGGTTTACGCATTCTTAAGCTTTTTGTTAGCCTTTTTAGCGTTAGCAGCTGGTAAGTGCAAATGCAAAAATTCTGAAAATGTATAAGAGACTTAATATAATTAATATTTTTTTAGCTAATCCAAATCCTCAACCCAATCCTGAACCAATGCCAGGTGGTGGTGGTGGCGGTGGTGGAGGAGGTGGCAAATTGTGGGGAGGCGGCGGCGGTGGCGGTGGTGGTGGTGGAAAATAAATTACAACTACCTAATGTGCTACAGAACAACAAATAAAATGTTAAAATAAAATTTTAGTTAATTGATTTTATTTGTGTCAACAATTCAGTAACACCATTAAATGATCAACATTTTTATATTTGTGCAATAGATTCTGAAATGCAGAGACCCTAACCATATTATGTTATTATTAAAATTTTTATTATTATTATATATGGTACTGTGCCCCCTTCTGAACAGAGAGTATGACTCCAAACCCTGTTGCTTCGATAAAGAGTAGTATAAAACCTACTTTAAATAATTTAGTTGGCTCTTCCATAAGAATATACATTCCCAGGAGTTTCTTCCGTATGTGCAATAGCACAGAGCAATATAAAAGCACATGTGCGGTTGACTGTTCATTCCTTTCGCAGAATCTACAGTTTGTTGGTATTTCAGTTTACAGTGTCCTGTTAAGATTCTTGTGATGATTCTGCTTTTTTTTTTTTTTTGATAAGTTCATACAATCCTGGTATCTCCTATTGTCAGAGGTACCAATAAGTGATTTGGATTTTTTTAAACCTGATAGGTCATCGCAATAATTCTTTTTGTTGTGGTTCTACTTAATTATTATTTTTATAACAGAAAGGAGGGTACTGTGTCCTATTCCACAGAAAGATTCCGGCCCCCTTAACGATGTGGCTACCTCTTTTCTGGTTACTTTATGTATGTATTCGTTTCCGCCAGTGCGGAAACCAGTGCCAGTGCCAGGTACCCAGAGAATCGGCACGTGATTTGATTCACAGAGCAGGTTTAGCTTTTCTTGTCAATGTTGCATAAGTATTCAAATCAGGAAATGAAGCTTTATTTTTTCCCTGATGTTTCCGTTCAATATTGCAAAGTACGCACATAGATATTGCGTAAGTTTTCGTTTAGAATATGCTAGTATTTTTTCCCAGCGCTTCCCAATGCGTTTTGGGCGATCCAACTATGCCCGCTTTAGCTGATAGGTTTGTTTGATGCCTTCCCAGTTTCTTCTGTTGATTAATTCAGTTTTAAAATGCTTTGTAAAGCTAAACTTTGGATTCATTCTAACTCGTAGCATTGAAAACTCCGGACATTGTTTGGCAAGATTTTTGAACCTTTTACAATTAAATTAAATGTCCGTTAGGTTTATTTTTTCATTCTTAGAACTATATCAAACACTATATCTCAAGAAAAAGAGACCCAGTTTTACACTTCTATGAACTTGCACTTCAGAGTGCTTATTAAATCAGACTTCTGGTTTCGGATATTAATTGTAGTGACTTTTCGAATTGCCCTTTCTCTCCTTCTTGTTCTAGAGTTTTAGGTACATTGAAATATTACAAATTTTATCGTATTTGTTTAGAGATTTCATTTATAATAATTTTTATTATATATATATTTTTTGTGTGAACCAAAATCATAAAATAAAACTGGCTAAATACGGTTATTTACTTTTAAATCGATTTAATTGGATATTGCTTTTGATCTAGATCCTTTATGAAAAATCAAAAAAAATATTTAGAAAACTTTTAATAAGTATTTAATTGGCGAAACCTGCGGAGTAATATTATGCCTACTGGCCCCGATATGACAAAAATTATTTTTATGAGAACATTATTATTCATTAATCAAAGATATTCCGAGATGATGAAGAAGTTGTTGCAAATCACTAATTTATACAAATTAGAGGAAAAAATTTCCAAGTTATCTGTTAGTTTGTCACGATTCTGTATTTCATCCTATAATTAGCTATCATTATAGGCACCTATTATTATTCTAATATTTTATCAATATTTATATATATTACGAATTCATATCCTAAACAAAGAAAAGTGTTATGTGCAATGTATTGTCTTAGATAAGGTACTTAATTCTTAAGAAAATCTTATATAAAATTAAACAAAGAATTTTTGTAATATTTTACAATGAGATATTTTTATAGATTCGCCATTATTATTGTTCATATTTTGCATATAATTATAAGTTTTTGGTATAAAAGGTAACACAAAAAACAAATTTTTTAAAAGAGGGAAAACAATGAAGCTATTTGTATTTTTTTTAACTGTTTTTAGTAGCATATTTATATGCTCCACAACTGTTCCTTTCACTTTACGTGCTCGAGGTAATAAAAATGGAAGAGGAAACGTAGACCTCTATGGACCTTTCGGATTACCTCTCGGATTCTTTAATGCTGGTGTTGCTACTCCTCGATCACCAAATGCTAGGCCTAATCAACCACCAGCATCAGCACAATTTCGACCACAACCCCCACCCCAAGCAGCAGCGCCACTTCCGCCACCACCACCACCACCACCGCCGGGACTGCCACCACCACCACCGGGACTGCCACCACCGCCACGGGGACTGCCACCACCACCACCGGGACTGCCACCACCACCGCCAGGTTTTCCCTTTTAATTATTACTAATAATTTGCTAACATATTCGGGTATGTAAAGAAAAAGAAAGACTATAAAACACTTTAAATGTATATCCTTTACATGTCAAACGATGTCAAATGCAGCAATTTAGCATTTCAGTCTTTAAAATCCAAATAAATGATATCTATTATTAATCTGAAATTATTCTTTTTCTTTATTTTGACACTTTTTAAGATTAAGAGAATATCAAATATAATTCAAAGTATATAAATCAAAGCATATGAACAGATTAATGATGTAGATGTTGATGTGTTCATATTTATTTTAGATAAAATAAACTATTTGAATTGGATATGCATTTAGGACGATTTTGTGAGCATAATTTTCTAGATTCTTGAACATATCAAATATAGATTAGTTAGTGTGTCGGACACTGTCTGTCCGGCTTCTACTTTGCAGTATACGAACTAAAACACTCAGTCTTCCTCCGCTGGATTTCTCCCCGCGGGGCCGCTTTCGCGTTACGATTTTTAATAACGATTAAAAAGTTGAAAATGATCCATTATGCGGCTCCGATGTGGTTGCACTATTTAAGTGATATATTTTCAATTCGTGTTCCATCATAACATTTTTGTTTGTTTTGTTAAGCAATGCGTTTTCAAAAGTCTCTATAATATAGAGCTTGATGGCAGATGTGATATATCCATGTCTTTTGTAAATAACAAAGTTTACCGTAGCCACATGAATACCTATTAGTTTGAATTAAATTTGAGGACATGAATTTGGAAAATATGTTAATTTCCCAGAACGGTGTCACAAGTCTGTTTTGTTTTGTTGCAAC